ACATCCATATATTAAAAAAAAACATTTGAACAGTATGTTTTTAACAGTTGATTACCCTGAACTTTAAGTATAATTCAACAGAAAAACCAAAAAAAAAAAAAAAAAAGAATTACATTTATTTATTTTTTAATAAAAATAATAATCGTTTTATTTCGATTACATTGTTTTCGTAATCGTTGCAAGCCAAAATCGTAATCGAGATTAAAATACGATTAATTGCACAGCCCTAAGTCACAGTATTTCTTTATCTGAGGAGCAACACATTCTGGCTCCAGACAAAACCTCCAGGCAACAATATATCAAATTAAGGATGCACCAATAAAAAAAATATCCGAATTCAATACCAAAACTGGATCTGATGGAAAAACCTGGTATATCAAAAGTTACACAATAAAAATACAAAAAATCTTAAAAACAAATCAAAGCACGCTGACTAAAATCTCAAAAGGTCTCATGTCTTTGTGTCCAGTGGTATCAAACAAATGCAGGGTCCTGATTATACAAATCAAGAGTTCATAATTTAACTAACAAAACATGGTATCAGCATTTTACGTTTTTATCAGTGCATCTATAATATCAAATCAATCCTTAAAATGTCAAACTGGTCCAGACCAAAATGTAAATACAGTACAGTGAAGCAGCAAATACACAGCATGTGGACATCTGGGACCAGAAAGCAACATCAATATCTGAAAGTGAAACGCAGCAATGTAAAAGCTTTGTAGAAAACAGCTTTGAAATAGGTGTGACTATAATGGTGTTAAACTGGAAACCCCCGCGTACACACGGTGTGATTCTGGGCGGCCTCGGGTAAATCGTGAGGGAAGACGAGGTGAGATCTTTTGGCGGTTAATCCAAAATGGTGTTTTAAGATCACACTGTGAGATACTTCCACTAACTTTAAGACGCCTGTTGAGATATTTAGGAGACAAGAAGTGACTCTGGGACCCGAATCAGAACTAATTGTATTCAGTCTAATATGGTTGTGTAACATCTGATTGTATTGCGAGCAGATTGTTTATCCAGGGTAACAGCATAAAATGTAAATCTGATCAAAGCCTGTAATCAACAAAAGGACGTAAGTCACCATGACGTCACCCTTTGGTTCGTGGTCTTTCGTTTTAAAGCCTTTAGTTTGGATTTTTTTGCATTTTCCATATTGGTTTTTGGCCGCTTGTGACGACCCCTGCTTTGCTATCTCCTGTTGTGTGTGTGTGGCCCTTTAATGTTCTCCCTTTGTCTGTGTCAGCGTTGATTGAGGCCACCTGGCTGCCGGTACCGGAGGAGTAAAAGGCCTGAGCCCGAGTCTCGATGTCTCTCTCCGCGGAGGACCTGTTTTGGGAGAGCAGCCACTTCGTTTATGCTTTTGCCTTTATGTTAGTTTTGATTAACGTTGGGTTCTTGTAATAAATATATTTTCTTATATCTTGTCCTTTCCACGCTTTTGTTATGGCCAAGAGCCAGGCCATGACACGCTGAACAAGATATTTTCAGACGACCAAAATTACGTTTCAGGAAGTGAAAACACCAACTGCGAAGAGCCAAGAGTGTGGCGGCAACCTGTCAATCACAGCTAGCCCCGCCCTAAAGCATCGGCTGCTTTAGGGTCTATTTTACCCCATTATTTACTAAATAAACATCACGTTGTGTTGAAGAATACTTGAAACTAGAGATTGAGACCATAAACTCAGAGCATTAGGGTCATTTTCTCAGACTTCTATAAAACTGGACTACATTGGCTCTGATTGGCCTTTCCTTCCCGGAGGTTTGCACTTAAACCTGATCTATTGAGAGCCTTACAAAAATATGTAGTCTCTAATTATGAAATATGTTGTTGTTCGCTTTATTAACCCACATTTAGTAAACTAGCACCCATGAACAGGTAATCATAAAACCAAACTATAGAAAGGCAGTGAAGCTTTGTTCGTTCAACTTTCCTAAAATTGTAAAAAGTTGAGAACAGTAAAGCTGCTCACGTTTTAAAATGCAAATGGTGGCAGCAAAGACAACGTAGTTTATGGTTAGGGTTTGTGGTCTCTGTCGAATTAACGAGGTCATGTTACGTGAATTGAAAAGAGCAATTGAATCAGGTGAGCTTTTTATGTAAAGAATTAGTTTTCACTGTTCAGTTTTTGTGTTCAAAATGTAGCATTTGTATTCATTGCATTATCGGTCATGGTTCAACCAAAATGTGATATTACTAATCTCACAGTGTGAAGTTGTTATTCTGTCAGACCGCTGCCATCACACAGTGTGTCGGGGCTGTAGGGAACGCACCACAAGTTAGGCAATAAGCTCTATTTAAATCCGTTATAATTCACCAGTAAACCTTTAACATGGGCAGAGTCAAAGAGAAACACTCGATTCTAAGTCAGATTAGACATAAATCCTCCATTCTGTAATCGGAGCTGCTTTGGACGCATGTAAGAGGACACATTCAGTGCAAAGTCCAAAGTTTTACACTCATATTTTTGGCATCTGATCAACAGTAAGGCAGTTATCTGTGGATCAACAATTGTAGAGTTTTGAAGCAAGAAATGTCAGAAGGTTTCTCACTCAAACACAGCCTCAGTTTTCCAGCAGCCATATTTACATATCTGTTTTAATTCTACAAACATTTCTCCGCTGCAATGAGGAAAAGGTATAGCTAAGTAAGCGCAATGTTATCCTGAACAGTGGTGCCAAGTTAGACTAAAATAGCTTGTTTAGCTTGTTAGCTAAGGCTAGTTAGCTAAGGCTAGTTAGCTAAGGTTAGTTAGCTAAGGTTAGTTAGCTAAGTTTTACCTCATTTTCCGCTCAAAGGAGGATTTAGCTAGGTTAAGATTAGCGTTAGCAGTGCTAATTTAGTTCTCCCAATCCACCTATCTTCTGTTACAGTTAATAAAGCTCTACTTTTACTGAGGGGTTAAGTCATGCAAGCTTGTTACTTACCAATACTTACATTAAATACATGTTTTTTTTTACTTCATCCCTTCAGAGCAAGTGGATTCAAGTGATCTCTTTTGCTAATATGCTAACAGTTGATAGCAAACTAGTCTTAGGCAGCAAACATCCTACAATTAGCACATTTTATTTTTAAATATGAAACGTTTCGCACGTACTTTATTGACTAGAATGTCACGATCATCATGTGATTGAACTCTTTTTTTAAGATTTCTAATTCAAGTTCAAACATGTTATGCTAATTTAAGACGAAGCTAGAAGCAGCTAATGTTTAAAAGACATTTAACTTTCAGAAGTTGGAAAAAGGTGTTGTTTTGGTGTCAGTAATGCACGTGCCTTTTAAAAATAACAGTCATTATAGAGGGAGAATCGGGTAGCCAAGCTAAAAGCTAATTGAACATGATCAGAGAGTCGTTCAAAGTCTGCAGCCGTGTGCTTTAAAACATAAACTATCAAATATTCAGCACGTCAGAAATGTTTGTTGAACTAAAAGATAAACCGCATTTCAATCCACTCCTGCAAAGCGTGTTGTTCCGTCAACATAACTTCGGTTTAATGGCATAGATCCTCTGATTGGTCAGAAATCTACAGAGCTGGGAGTCATGTGACGTGGAAATCTGTGCACGGATTACTATTTCAAAGTCAGACGAATAGTGAAAATACTACAAAATGTGAGGGTTGGGTCGAGACCAGCGGGGGTCTCTGGAGACGTGTTGTGCTTTAACAGAGAAGTGGGACCTCTGTTTCTCTTAAGTGCATCAAATCGGATATTTGTTGTATTTTCACAATTTTTTTCCGACCCCAGTCGATAGCATGTGCGCTCTTATGTCGTCAGAAGGACTGTAAAGCCTTTTAAGGACAACTATAATTGAGTGCTTTGAATCTAAATCAGCAATACAGTATTCCATATTTTCTTTGCATTCATTTAATCAATTCATGCACGTGTTCTTTATCTGTAAATACAATTTATTAATCAATATATACTTTTAAAATCCACCGTAAATACATTTTATGTCGTTCAATTTAGAAGTATGTTATATAATCCATGTGTGTATTCATCTCATGCATGTTTTATTCATCTGTATGCATGTTTTGTTAATTCACATGATATTTTATAAATCTGTGCGTAGATTTTTATGTAAATGTTTGATTTATTAATCTGATGTTCTATTCCCCATGTTATACAATCCATGCATAAGCGTTTCAAATGCGTGCGTACATTCAATAAATCCACGTGTTATATTAATCTGTACAAAAGAGTTAAATATTCATGTGTACATTTCCATTTCCATCTTTTATATTTTACTTTAGGCCTTCTGTATATGTGCGGGAACTTTATGAATCCGTGCCAACAGATTTCCACAATCCTTCTCAAACATTTGCTCCATAGACATCATTATAACTTTTTGAGTTTAATATGGAAACTGCTCTCTTTTTTGCAGTCAATAAAAAATGATGTGCTTTCTGATACATTTTGAGTGACTTTGGATTGAAATGACGAGCAGTTTCATTCTGTAAAAGCACCGAGGACAGTCGAGTCTGTCCTGAATGTGAGAGAAACCGGCCAGCCTTCTGTAGAGAAACTGTAATGAATGCCGTCCTTTGATTCTGAACTGCTGCCGAAGTAAACAGGAAGTTATGAGATGCGTCACGGGAGCCGCGCCCCGATGGAAGAAGGTTTGGTTCATGTTGTTAATATCTCAAATCAATGGCACACTTTCTATTAAAACAGTACTGAGGTTTGAGGATCATCACTGGTGGTATTCTGTTTTTCTTGTTGCCAAAAAACCTCATGTGCAGAACACCTTAAAATGTGTGTGTGTGTGCGTGCGTGCGTGCGTGTGTGTGTCTGAGTGTGTGTGTGTGTGTGTGTGTGTGTGTGTGTGTGCGTGCGTGCGTGTGTCTGAGTGTGTGTGTGTGTGTCTGAGTGTGTGTCTGAGTGTGTGTGTGTGTGTCTGTGTGTGTCTGAGTGTGTGTGTGTGTCTGAGTGTGTGTCTGAGTGTGTGTGTGTGTGTCTGTGTGTGTCTGAGTGTGTGTGTGTGTGTGTCTGAGTGTGTGTGTGTGTGTGTGTCTGAGTGTGTGTGTGTGTGTGTGTGTGAGTGTGTGTGTGTGTGTGTGTTGGTGTGAGATAGTTTCCTCTTAAATCTTAAAATAAATCCTAAAAAAGTGGGAAATCTGCATTTGTTTGTTACCATTTTCAGCAGCAATCTTTATTTGTCGCTAAATGAAGGCAAGATAATTGTTGTTGTTGTTTTCTAAATCATTGTTGGTTTGGTTCTGCACATGGGATTTGTTGACTATAACAGAAATATCAATCATCACCAGACTTTTCTTTTAATTGCAAGTGAAGCACTTTTCCGTGTTGTTTCATGCTAATGTTTCCTTTTCTTTCAATTCACAGAATTAGTTTTTTAGCATGCTATTGTATGTTTTTCTTTAGCACACCTAAGTATTAGCCCCTGAGTAATGTTTTAACATGCTAACAAAGTCATTAGCATGCAGGTTATTTTTCTGTAAAATGTTAGCTTGTTAATGATTGTTAGCACAGAAGAACGAGCATCCAAAGTGTGCTAGCAAACATTAGCATAGCGGGCTAACAGGGCTATACTGTGCACCATTTGAGTGTTGAGCATTTAAGAAAAGTGAGTTTAAAAAAGACTTTAATACATCCGTGGTCCAGAGTGTTGTTTTTTTACTGAAGAATAAAAGTAAAATTGAATTATTTGAATCGAGAAATTCAAGCTATTTAAAGTAAACCACAGAAAAAGTGCAACAAAATGGCGACGCGTGACGGAGGCTGAACTACGACTTGTGAGATTTTGGCGGGAAATCGGCTGGATTTGTATTTTGGCGGGAAACGGTTGTTTTATGGCACACAACAGGAAGACGGCACTGTCCTATTAGACTATTAGAATCAAACACATTTGAAATTTAGGGCGGGAAGCAGCAGGCATGATGGGAAATGTAGTTGTGAGGACGATACAAGGTGCACTGCGGTGTCATTTGTTGATACTGATTCTATTAATACACTGATGATTACTGAGCACCTTTAACATGTAAATGTGACTTTTGAAGTCAGAGAGGGAATCAAAATGTATACTGGGTTTCTGAGGAACACTGAGACTGCCGTCCTGTCGGGGGTTCTACCGGGATGATCGGGATATTTACGCTTCAGCTTGTAGAAAACGACAGCTGGTCCTGGATCAGCTGTTCCATTACATCAGCAGGAATGATTCTGATCCAATCAGGTGAATGATCCGGGTGGTTGCTAGGCAGAAGATGGACCGGGACACAGCAAACTGCAAACACAGCCGTCTGGTTCCTTCATGATGAAACGCTGCTTACACTACTGCACCTGGAGGGGGGGGGGGGGGGGGGGGGGAAGGAGGCGAGGAAGGAAGGAAGTATACAATGAAATGATGGAACGTAGAAAGGACCCAAAAGCAATGGAAAAGGAAACAAGAAAGTTTGTAGGGAAAAAGGACAGAAAGATAGGAAGCAGGAAAGAAAGAAAGGAAAAAGGTTACGACGGATGAAAGGAAGCAAGGAAGTAGGAAATGAGATAAATATTAAAGGTGAGGTACCGGTCTGGTGAGGGCCGCAGCTCACGCTGTAGGTCGTCCACAAACTGACCGCCATCAGGAACGTGGCGATGAAGCCAAACACCTGAACACACACACACACACACACACACACACACACACACACACACACACACACACACACACACACACACACACACACACACACACACACACACACACACACACACACACACACACACACACACACACACACACACACACACACACACACACACACACACACACACACACACACACACACACACACACACACACACACACACACACACACACACACACACACACACACACACACACACACACACACACACACACACATCATCCATTTATCTAATTTAGTTCCAGCTGTTTAAATGAAAATGTGTGTGTGTGTGTGTGTGTGTGTGTGTGTGTGTGTGTGTGTGTGTGTGTGTGTGTGTGTGTGTGTGTGACGTACCGATGACACCACCAGCGCAGAAACCCCCCCCGCCTTCACTGCCGCCACGATGGAGGCGATGCACACGAGGATGACCCCCACCGAGTAGTGGAAGAACTCCTGGAGCACAGCGAGCACAAGACTCATCATCAAACACATCATCTCAACATTCAGTCTACTGGAGGCCTTTCCTCCCATCAAACTCTATAACTCCTCCCCCTTCAGTCAGGAGAACTGAGAACTTCCACACCACCACTATGTGCAAAATAAATACCATCATTACACACTCTCTGCAGGGCTCGAGTTATGTGGGAGTTGAGCTCCCATAAGGAGGAGGGGCTGAGCTCCTAAAGCAGTGAAATAATACATCTGGGGGGGTCGCTAATACATTACAAACAACCATTATTTTAATCACATATAATGCATGTGTCAATGTAATGAGTATTATTTACATTAACGAGGTAAAAAGGCTGAAAGAAAAACATGTTTCCCAAAAGAGCCACGCATCGTATTCTCTCTTGATGACAACATGCCTGCGCTGCACCTCCCAGGTGTGTGTGTGTGTGTGTGTGTGTGTGTGTGTGTGTGTGTGTGTGTGTGTGTGTGTGTATGTGTGTGTGTGTGTGTGTGTGTGTGTGTGTGTGTGTGTGTGTGTGTGTGTGTGTGTGTGTGTGTGTGTGTGTGTGTGTATGTGTGTGTGTGTGTGTGTGTGTGTGTGTGTGTGTGTGTGTATGTGTGTGTGTATGTGTGTGTGTGTGTGTATGTGTGTGTGTGTGTGTGTGTGTGTATGTGTGTGTGTGTGTGTGTGTGTGTGTGTAAATACCATCATTATATACTCTCTCACTCCGACTCAGTGCTGTTAGCCACGTTCGGTCGTTTCATTTCTGCATTTCATATTTGAGTGCGCTTTAAGAAAGTGTTTCTTGTCTTTCTGCCTCACACAGAGAGAGCTACGCAGCTATGAACTCACAGATCCATAACATACTATTGTTCACAACAAAACATTGTATTTTCTTGCTTTAAAGAAAATGACATTTGAAGCTTTATTAGAAAGTTAAGAGTACGTGAAATGAATGACATCTGGTTGTGTAAACTCTTAAATATCCCCATCAGCATGTGTCTGATTGTATTTAGAAACTCTCTCAGTGTGCAGTGAGTGCACTTTGAGCTCACAGGAAGCATCTAAATATCTAAATGCCTGCAAACACCTGCTAGTTTCCACTTCTCCTTCATCAAATCAACACTGGAGCGCATATTATTGGGACTATTTTCAGCGGCGGATGAATGCACATTCAGTGGCAGCAGGACAGTGTGTGTGGCATTAAGTGAAATTAGCCTCAAGTGTGTGTTCATGGTAAGAAAGCTGCTTGTCAGACGTCTCACCGTCAGAGGCCAGTTGAAGCAGGGCATCTTGGCCTGCAGCCGGAACAGGTGCATGAGGAAGAAGAGGAGGAAGGCGATGAAGAACCACAGCGACACCACCTCGAAGAACTGGAAGGCCGCCCAGCTGGGCCAGCCCCGCGCACAGCGAACACAAAGGAAGGCCACGAGCAGCGCCACCTGCAGGACGGGAAGCACAGCGCGGCGTGAGAAACAGGGTTAAATATCAGAGTGCGGGGAATTGAAAAGAAAAGTGGTTTAAAGGTCAAAGGTGGGTTCGGGTCAGCCACCACCCCTTTCTACTTCTTTAAGGTCATGCTACTATTTACATGCCCCCCCCCCCCCCTCCTAGGATACATGACTATTATATTGTTACCACACACACATAATTCACTTTATTTATATAGCACCTTTCATGCTTGACACAGCCCAGTATGACAAGATGTAGTTATTGTTTGTTTATCCTGTAATAAATAAATACATACAATTGTTGAGTTTCATTCGTCGAGCTGTCTCCTGTGTGTGTGTGTGTGTGTGTGTGTGTCTGTGTCTGTGTCTGTGTCTGTGTCTGTGTCTGTGTCTGTGTCTGTGTCTGTGTCTGTGTGTGTGTGTGTGTGTGTGTGTGTGTGTGTGTGTGTGTGTGTGAATACATTCTAATTGATTTATAGTTATAACAAACGCCAATTAAAATGAACGACTATTTGTTTTATATTTTAATTGTAAAGCGGTAATAAACTTGAGATTGAAATATTCTATTACGCATCATTCCTTCAGTAAACTGCTGCTGTCTTTGATCCAGATGATTATGTTTTAGTAAACACGTTAACACTCAGCAGCAGAGAAGGAAGAAGTACTGAGATATTATATATACATGTACTAAGTAAAAGTAGAAATATTCAGTCCAACATTAAAGTTTTCACCTAAACTATTAGTATTAAAATATGCAAGTAAACGTCCTGAGCTCCGGAGTAAAAGTACAGAAGTATTCTTAAAGGTCCCATGTCACGGCCATTTCTACTGATCATAGTTCCACTGTTGAGGTCTACTAGAATAGATTCACATTGTTCAATGTTCCAAACTCACATTGGTTTCTCATACAGCATCTCTGTATAGTATGTGTATTCACTCTCTGTCCTACACGGCTTGTTGGAGCTCCTGCCCCCCCCTCCCTGTGAGCCCAGTGGCCGTCTGCGAGAAAGCGAGACACAGCCCGAAACCAGCCCGAACACACACACACCCGCAGCCTGGCTGGGAGTTTGTGTGTGTGCTCACACACCGACTCACAGCCTCGCCGCGTCCCGCCGTCTCAGGGAGGAGAAATCGGCGGAGCTGCAGCTGAGAAAAGATTGAGTGTGTGAGAGTGAGGAAGTCCGTGGATTGGTCCATTTGCACCAATCCACGGACTTCGCGGAACAGCTCCGCGGACGTAACGTAACGGCTCCACGGATTGGTCCATTTGGACCAACGGGTCCATTTGGGTATGGGCACGTCACTGTACCCAAGAAGGAAACAATGGAAAAAGAGAAATCTCTAACGAGGCGTTCTGGGGCAGCATAGACAGGTCTTTCCTGTGTGAGAATTTTACTCGCTACAGGGTGTACTTTGAGGGTTTGTGACTCTGCAGACCGTTTACATGCAGAAGCTTCAGAACACAAGG